GTCGACACCGCCTGAGGTACTTAATTCAGTGGAAAGGCTACCCTCGGGAAGAGTGGACGTGGGAATTGCGGGACAAACTGGAGGGCGCAGAAGAGGCACTCGAGGACTTCTATACTCTCAACCCGTTCGCGCCCCGCGAAGAACTCGTAAACGGCCGATGGAAAATCCGAAAGCAAGACCAGGGGACGCGGACCCATAGGGCGTCGAGACGCCGCCCACAACGGAGGGGGTGATGTCACGGTTCGGGTCGGGCCGTCCGGGCCATAAGGCCGCACGGGCCCGTATACCGCCGTCCTCCTGGACGCCCCCTCATTCTTCCAACCCCTTCCGTTCACCCCTGCGGCCCTACGCAGCGCCCATCCGATCCGCCCTGGGACCTGGCGCCCATCCGATCCATCCCTAATACCGTAGCGTATAAAAGTCGTACTTACAAGATGTAGTCGCTAGGCTAATATCGTCTATTCTCCGGGCGAATACCCATCTCTCGTGCTCCTCAGACCCCTTCGAAGTCGGACCCCCCGACGCCCCCGATACGGCCCAAGCCCGACGCTGACAGGAGGATCCAAAGTGTGAATAAAAGCTACGGAAATACACAGAGGGACCGACCTAGCAGGGGAGGATCCAAAGAGAAGAAACTCTAAGGGTCCGCCTGCTAGGGCGCCAACTATATACTGGTCGTCCGTAACTGCCGACGTAGAGCGCAGAAGGCCTGAGCGGTGTCGCAGGCTCTGTCCCAAGGTGATCGTTGGGAGGGTCTTGACGGATCGGTGATTGTGCGGGCGAAGGAGGCCGTGGATGATGGTCGGGGTGGGTTGGAGCGTCCGAGGGGGCGCCGGTCGGATGTGCCTTGGATGCGCTCGGACGGTCCGAAGGAGGCCGAAGCAGGGGTTCCCCTGACAAATGCGCTCACTTCACTGAGTGCCATACGACAGTAGACGCAGTCAGAGCTGCCCGGTTGTACTATCGGAATGTCTGGAGGCACCACGGAACCCCCCGAGAAGTACATCTCAGATCACGGTTCGCAGTTCATCGCTGACTTCACGCGCGAACTCTGGCGCTTAATCGGTATCAAGCCTGCCACATCCACGGCTTACCACCCGCAGACCGATGGACAGACCGAACAAGTTAACCAGGAGCTTGAGCAGTACATCCGGATCTTCACCAACTACCAACAAGACGACTGGGACGAGCTTATCCCTGCCGCTGAGTTTTGCATGAGGGTGCGGTGATGACCGGAGGATGAGGGTGATGGAAGAAACACGTGGTGATCGATTTTTTTCATTCCCACGTCATCCTTTCGAATCTTCCCTCGCGTTTCTGGCAAGTTTCTGGCGCAAGCGGCGGCCCGGTGCGTGGCCGTCCAAACCGGTAGGCCTGTGCAGTACAGCAGTGAAGTGTGGGGCGATCACTCTTCAGCGAAGAAGCCTCTTGGACCGGCTGCAGGCTTAGAATGGTGGAGCGCTGGTCGAAAACTGTGCGGAGAACTACCAGCTGAGTTCCGGTTCAAGCCTGGTCAACCTGATGTACGATGTGCACTCACAACAGTCCACGGTGTCCACCTTCGACAGCAGCTGTTCGAAAGCCATGCCGATCAAAACAGCTTTTCGTCTCTGTGGACGTGCCTCGTTGCCCGTGCGATGATACTTCTAATCTCCTCTCAGGCAGTGTCATCGATTCGAGCGAGCCTTGCGTTCTTTGCCTCCTCCCCCATTGATCTACCACTCCCCCCGCGGAAAGTACAGGGCAATGTATTCTTCCTTTACGACCGACTACATGCAAGAGCATGGCCATCCAGCGCATATCGTCGTCTGACGGATGCTTAGCAACGGTTGGGGTGCCGTCAAGAACTCCCTTTTTGCGAAGAGCAAGAACACCATCGTGGCAGGAGGAACATTCGTCGTCGATAATCGCACCTTCTTCACGATTCCCTTGCGTAAGCCCAAGATAGGTACGTCCCCCCTCTCGCTGCTGAGGCCTGAGCATTGAGCGGTTTTGCTGTAGCTGTAGACAAGAAGAAGTTCAACATTGAGGTAATCCTCAGGCTTTAATGGACTTACTAGCGCTCATCTCTCACACACACTCTCTCAAGCAAATGGATAAATCATGTGTTGCACTTTTGAAAGAGATTACGGTTCGGAAGCGGACATGCTTCCATTGGCCCACCTCCACTAGACCTGATGTAGTTGTGAGAGTCTTTAATGGACCGCAGGCTGTCAAGGTCTTAAATCTATGTCACTTATCTCATGAACACTGAACTCTATTCCAGCACTGTGATCAGGACATTGAACTTAACAAAGACATATTGTATATCATCTCTGCTTTCGAAATACCATAAGCCTTGACATTTGGAGGTCTGAATGCTTTCTCAAGCAGAAGGTGCCTGGACGCAGCACATTGACAGCCACACCTCCAGCCAAAATCATCATCCAACACTCATTCTTATTTCGAAGTCACTCACAGAAGCTTCGCAGTGGCTGGGATAGTATCAAAAATTCCAGCAAGAACACTGGTGTCAAAGGTGGTACCTTCATTGTCGACAATCATGTCTTCTTTACAACTCCACTGCGGAAACCCAACATTAGCATGTGCTACTATTGCCAAAATGTCTAGTTGCTGATCAGTCATCTGAGTTAGACAAAAGGTTGAATATTAAGGTGCACATCCTTTATCTATATTCTAACTAGTATTCATTCCGCACTCTTGCTAAGTTTAGCGATTCTGCGTTGAACTCAGGAACTTGAAGCAAATACACCTACAGTTTGGAATTCTGGTGCTAGTGAGAGTATTTGCAGGTGTGGATGGTCAATGCTTCTTACTGTTTTCCAGCCCTGTGGCAGGGAAATTGAACTTAATAAGACCAATCCCTTGTATGTTATTCCTGCTTTCTAAAAGTATAGACATTGGGTCACTCCAACTGATAGCCATCCCAACCATCTACATATTATCGCAGCCTCACCGAAGAATTCCAGCAAATCATTTGTGATTTATGAAGAAGGTTTGACATGCTTGTGCCAACAAATACAAAAGTTATGTTTATAGATCTTGCAACAAAACAATAATAGAATAAATGTTTAAAATTTCATTCTAGTATATATCATACAAGTGAATAAGTCTTGGGAAACAGAATAGATAATTATTTCCAGCTTTTTGTGCTCCTCACACACCAGAGTTTAAGCCAAAAAATGATCACCTAAGCAAGATTTATATATAAGAAATAATGATCAAAAAAATAGCCTTTTTGCTCTTTTGATGGATATGTGATAAAAGTTCCAAAAATTGTATCTGATTTACAAGAAATTAAGTTCTATATCATGGTATCAAATATTGCATACATTATGACTACCCCATCCTTGACCATGTTTTGTAAACAATAAGTCTATGTTATTCAAGCCCAGATATTTGTTGAAGAAATAGTGTCACATTATTATTACCCCAATTTCAAATATAAGGGTAGTTTGTCATATATAATGGCAATTTGTCACTTATTTCTGATATATTAGGTACACTTTGGTGCTGGCTCAGATTTTTGATATATATATGTGGTCTCATATTTTGTGACATATTTGGTGCATTTGTTGGTTGCAAATCATTGCCACAAAATTGTCAGCTAATATTGGCTTTGAGTTCAGTCCAATCTGATTACATAATATATGCCCTAATTTTCTTTACAAATCAAGTCTACTTTTCTGGAGTTTTATTTGTTATTGTTTCAAGTTGTGAAAATGTTTTTTTTTGTTCACTATTGATCATAGAGAAATCCTACTTCAAGGCCTATTTGACGACCCAGTACAGCTCAAGCCCAACACTAACACCTTTACAATTATCCATATATATACGATGTAACATAGATGAGTATAACAGACCATTATACATCACATACCAGTGTCACATCTTGTTGTCTGAGTCCTACAGTCTCCTGATTATTCATCACAGGGGTGAGTCACTCTTCAATTCCTAATCCCAAAGAATGCAATACTTTTTTAAGGGAAATTTAATTTTTTTCAAAAGGTGATATGATAACAGACTTTATAGTCGAATTATGTTCGGACTATTTCTAAATCATATACCATCAATGATCGACTTATGCCTATACGGAATGAAGCTATTATCACTCTAAGTCAGTCAATAGGACTTCATAGAAAGCACTTAGAGACTGAAAGTATGGAAATTATCCATTTTTTTATCTAGTAATTATTCATTTCTATGCAGGTTACACAATTCCACATGGCTTATCAGTTGCACTTGACCTGATAGTCCATAGTGATATATGGGCCTTACAGGTGGTTGCACAAATGATCATTTTTCTTTCTCATTTGTTACAAGTAAAAACTCATTTTTTTTCTGTGGAAAAAATTGATTGCATTTTTTGTAAGGAAACAACTTCTTATTTTCTCCTTGGAAAAAAAAACTTGAAGTTTTTCTTGCTGAAAATTAGGGACAAAACTGAGTATTTGTGCAACAATTTTTAATAGTCAAAAATTTTGATATAATTGACTAGGAAGAATCTTGAAAAACACCTTGAATTTTTCCTTCTAATTTCAACTTAGCAAAAACTATTTGTAAAAACTCGAAATTGTTGTCCTAGTTTGTTCTCTCTATATATAGTCTGACATTTTTCTTGGTAGTAATCATGAGGTACAAAACCCCCAGTTCATTTTCTCACATTTTGCAGCAAAAGTTACTGAAAAAGTTCAAATTTGGACCCAGAAAAAATCCATTCAAAAAAGGCCAACTTTTCACAGGGAAAAATTGTGGAAAGTGTCAGGCCCCACAGCACGACTGACGGGGGGAGAGGACACACACCAGAAACCTGTCATGCCAGGATCTCATACCCAGTACCCTGCCACCCCCAAGACTCTTCTCCACGCAGCATTGTGACCGTTCCACTTGGATTTGAGTCGCCTGCGGTGATGCCGTTACGTGATGCCGTTCCGCGTGACGGCCTTTACGAAACGTGATCCTCGCTGGCAATCACACATCCTTCTTTCTTTCGCTCTTCCATCTTCTTCGCGTCACTTTCCCCTCGACACGCACAACGCGAGCTGCTGCGTCCTTGGCTACAGAGTCTCGACAACTCCCGCCCACTACACTGCCCTGCTCGAGTTTCCATCGGCCACCCCGACGAGATTCCACGCCAAGCAATGGAAAACACCCCGCCAGGCCCCGCCCGCTTCCCTACTCGTACCCGCCCGCAAGACGACCTTGCGCTCAAGCATCGTTTGGGCGAGGTGCGTTGCTCGCTGAGCCCAGTGATTCCTGAATCATTCTTGACGGCCCCTCTTTCAGACACCGGACGCTAGGCGAGTCGACACTGGCGAGACGCGAATCAGCCAGCGAGCCCTCGGGGAGCTGCGGAACGATGTGCGGCGCCGCGAGGATATGCTGAAGGTGCGATCGGTTTTTAACTGCCAAACGGGATAGTCGCTCACGCGCACTTGCAGACCGACGGCCAGTCCGAACTTGCAAAGCATAGTACCGACAACGGAAGACGCGCGGAAGGAGCCGTAACAGTGGCGAGCTTGCGAGAGCGGCTGCAGGACTCGCTGGAAGACAACGCTGGCTTGAAATCGGTGCGTTGTCACGTTCCCTGCCAGTGCGAGATGCGGTGCTGATACCATGCCGATATCGCCAGCGATGTGAAGAACTTTCTGCTGCGCTCGAAGGAATACATGTTATGTACAACCGGCTGGCCCAGACGACCAGCGCGCTTCGCGGGGAAAACACAAGCTTGCAGTTGAAGTTGTTGGTGTGTTGGACTAGCTTCACCGTTGAATCTTGCGCTTATGCTTCCCAGGCGGCGCACGAAGACCAGACGATCGTAAGTGGTTCCGATACTTCGCTGGCCATCGTAATGACTGAGGATGTGTCTAGCCGACAGCAAAGCGTGAGCGGCAGCTCTACCTCGATTTCATGGCCGCTCTTCCTCCACCACCGTCCACGCGCCCCGATCTCAGCCTTCTTGACCCAGTTCTCTCGAAAGTGCGGGCATGGGTCCGCATGTCAGCGATGCAGGCAAGTCCCCACCCCAGTCCCGATCCTTCTGGCGCTTAACCCCGTTCTCAGCGCTCGCGCGAGTTCATGCTGCTGGCCGGCCGCACGGTGTGGTGCTCTGCGGACAAGACACATGCGCTGGTGTTCTCCCCGCAGGTGTATCTCTCTAAGCAACAGCATGGCGCGGGGGCACCGCCGGAGTGGCAGGTGAACCACGAGTTTTCCGGGCGCATCGGGAAGAAGGTGGAGCTGTTTGTTCCGGTGAAGAAGGCTATGAGAGGCGGCGCAGTGGGCGATGCAGTGGACGACGCACGCGACGACGCAGTGTTCTACGCGGGGGTCTATAAGGTCCATAGCCTCCGCTCGGTCCACCCGCCGGGGTCCGCGGTCCCGGACGACGTGGTATGTCAATTCTTTCCGTTTTTCACTCACTCTGACGATTTGTACTTCCAGTCTGTCTACCACATCCTGCGCTCCATGAACATCGACACCGACCCGGTCGGAGCGTCCAGAAGCGATATGGAAACCGTTCTGCAACAGGCGGTCCCAGCGGACATGCCGCGTGGCGTCGAGTGCTTTGGGTTGCAGTGTGTCGGGTTCAACAACAACCTCTACAAGCGCTTGCGGAGGAGTGGCCTGGGGGTGTTGGCGCGGAGTGCCGGCGTCAAGCGGAGTGCAAGCGATGCTGACATTAGAGGCGGCGGTGCGAGTGCGAGTGCGGCGGGCGCGAGAAAGCGGCGCCGGGTTGGCGGGCCCGGTGGATCAACCGTCCGGTCGCGTCGTCATTGAAGAGAGAGGGGTTTTTATGCTTATATTATGGGATTGGATGTTAGATTAGATTTGTACGGACTCTAGATGTTGTAAATTACAGTGATTTGTACAGTTTGTGAAAGAAAACTTGGTAAAGAAGAGTGCGATCGCGGAATCAATTAACGTTGCTGGTTGATTTGCGAGACTCAAGTATTTGCAATGGGTGCACACTCAGGTTGCCCAGCTACCAATGCGATCAATATGGACACCGTAGACCAAAGTCCCGAGCATGAATGCCACTGCTGCGCTCCTGGCTGCCTCCCAAATCATGAAATTGGCCCAGTTGGGTCCATTCGTAACATCCGAAGCACCGGAAGAGAGGACGACGCCCAACCAGACCGCCGCCGCGATGCCTTGAACTATAGCGATCACGGCAGTGGTGGACAACCGAGCGATGCCACCACGGTAGTCGGCCCGGCATGTCTCCGTTGCGATCCGGACGGTGGCATGTAGCAGCAGCGTCAGCGGCCCGGAAACCGGAGCGCCGGCGAGCAGTAAGACCGGCAGAGCGGCGCCGAGGAAGAGGATGCCGAAGAGCGCCGCGGAGATGAGCTGGATCGGGATGAGCGGCTTGCCTTGGAGGGGTGGCTCCAGGCGGGTGACAGCGTAGTCGCTGGGGTCGGGGGAAGCGTAGATCGTCGGCGGAAGCGGGAGCATTCGCCAGAGTAGCGGGATGGGTGGCGCAACTGATCGGCCATAACAGCAGCCATACGTCCAGCATCCGATTCGGGCAAATGACTCATATGCCGGGAGGCCGACAGCGAGGCTAGCCACGTAGTGGGACGCATCCGCGACGAGTCCCAGCCATGCCACGAGGAGGGCGCCGGCGAGCGCACCAAGCAGGCCACCGTGAAGCCAGAAGCCCGGGCGGAGTGCGGCCCGCGGGGCCGCCCGGAGCGACGGAAGCCCGTCTTCCATGATAAGGGAGAATAGCCGCGCGCCGACGATCGCGGAGGCGAGGGTTATTTGGAGCGCAGAGCCCAGATTTGCGCGCTCGTGAGCGGAGGTTGCGGGGCTGCTGGCGAAGACGGTCAGGGCGAGGGAGGCGAAGCCCAGGCCGACGAGGGGGCCGTAGGGGACGAGGATGACCCTGCCGAGGCAGAGATGGGAAGCTTCCCGCGGGGCGTGATAGACGCGGATGGACGGGATAACGGCCGGGATGGACAGGGGATAGGAAAGGAGATTGCGGTTGGGGGCCATCGTGTGCGAAGGAAAGCATCGTCTCTTCATATGGGGACATCGAAGTCATCAGTGATGCGATTACATCATATGCGGAAGGAAGTCGGCCCGTGAGTGACAAGCGGCGCACGGACCAGCGCCGATCGCACGTGCTCGCTGCCACGTCAAACACCTCTTCTTCCCGCCCACCATGGGCGACGCATTCGTCCAGCGCAGGCACCGCGCGCTTCCGAAGGACAGCTTATGGTCCTACCCGCACCTCTGTCTTGCCAGTGTCGCGTGTTCCGCCGGTCTTGGGTGGCTATTCTCCAGCCCGAGCGCCGTCTTTTCATACGATCTCCGACGCTCCTCCAGTGGCCGGAGACCGGTGCTGGACGCCGTGCGTCCTCATCTGAGAATGGTGCATGTGTCCTCTGCTATTCTTCTTCCGCATGGGCCGACTTGTTTTTGAGGGCCCCTGGCTTGCCGCTTTCCGCCCGCCGCCTTCGCCAGCGGCGCGCTTCCCGTGGTGGACAACTGACTCGTAAACGGGTTGGTGCTCGAAGTGGTTACCGAGGAGTTGGAACTGTGCTTGTGGGCGATGGACGCTGGACGCTGGACGACGGAGGCATTGATGAGGGATTGACACCGGTGCGTCTAAGGATTCTCTCGCATGTGCTGCTTTTTCACTCATGACGGCAGCTTTCCAGTGTCAGCCCACTCCATCGTCAGGTGATGCCGTGGCCGTGAAGCCAGGCATTGCCGAGCCACGGCACGCGGTTAGCTCCCTCACGCGCGCATTGTTTGGGTCTGCATTGAGGGCGGCAGGAAAGGCGGTACCCGGAGCGCTTTCTTGCTCAAGGTCATCGACGACGCAGCAGCTCGCCCTCGTATCGCAGTTCTTGGTCACATCTTGGTCAGAACACACCGTCTTGATGTCGATGGGGACATCCACGCAGCGTACGTTAAAATAACATGGCTTATCTTCTACACAGACTGCTAGATGAACTCAAGATTGAAGTATAATCCATCCTGCTTGACTAACTCCTTGAGCTGTTCTCGGATCATATCAACGTGCATCGAGATGAGGGGCTTGATCTCAGAACAGGTGAGACACAGTACAAATGAATAATGCCCTGTCTTCCGATCGTGGCGACCAGCCAGCTTGTTGCTTCTTGCACGGCTTGTGAGGAAATGTACGAGGGACGACGCAGTGAACGAGATGGTACTGGTCATCGAGAAGCTCGTAAGCCGTGGGACAATGTTGTCCTGCACCGTCAGCTCCTGCAGGGTGATGTCGTCGACTGGGAAACTCTCTGTCTTGAACCGGTCAGAGAACCGGACAATAAGCTCCTCAAGCAGTGGGGTATAGTGCAGAGCATTCATAAGATCAGCGGGGTCGAAGAGGATGTGCAAGAGATGCAGCGTCGTCAGCTGAGGTGCCCGACTAGCAAAGTCTTTGAAAGCCACAGCATCCCAGGACTTGACCTTCTCTTCAACTGATGGAGGAAGATTCGAATCAAGCTGGGGCACCCATAGGCTGAGGGTTTGGCTTTGGAGGAGCTTTAAGCGGCGTAAACTATCCACAGATGGTGGAGTATTATACTCAACAATCAGCGTCCTGAGGTTGGGGAGATCAACTATATGCAGGAACGGGCCGAGCGCTGGGCGGCAGGAGTGACCGTCTACGGTCCGCATGTTGAGGTGGAGTCGGTGGATGTTGGAGCGGAACCGTGGTTCCCACTCTTTCCATCCCTTAAGGCGCTCCGCCATCAAGCGAGAGATGGTCACAGCACAGTGTGCACCACACCAACTGAGGAAACCAAATAAATCGGAGAGCGTTGTGACCACACCATTGATGCGAGGGGCAGTCAATGTCAGATGAACATCGGTCAACTGCCCCCATGGTACTTGTGGTGCAAAGTTGGTGAACGTGAGCCGATGCAAGGCCGGGGCATTCAGGAAGAGTGGGCACCTCCTCCAGCGGTCGCGCTCAACGTAGTCCCGGCCAGAGATGTCTACGGCCAATGTTTCAAGAGACAGTAGCCGGTTCGTGATGCTTGTGAGGTCCTGAAGACTGGTATTGCGGCTGACCGTGATTGAGAGGGACTTCCACCTTTCCGCATGCGCCGCAAGAAGTGCCATGGTTTCGGTGGGAAAACGCCCGTTGTGATGAGAAGGGACAAGTGTGATTGTTAGAAGAGCGCCATCGGCGTGAGCCAGAGCATAGCGGATGGCATTGGAAACAATGTTGTGCTTGGAGTGAGAAAATCCCTCTAAAGTGATAGATGACCACACAGATTTTGCATTGGTAATAATGGCGTGCCAGTGGTAGCACACCAATGCGAGACAGTGCCATTGCCGGAAGAGCACCCGAGCATGGGGGACAGCGAAGTGAAAAACATGCAGGAGGATCTCGTTTGGGAGCTTCCGGATCGGTGAAAAGACACTCATGCGTGCTGCTGCATCTTGCTGGAGCTCGTTCCGCTCACTGGTCAGGCGTGCAAGTATGGCGTGTACATCAGCAATGGTATTTTCATATCGTGAAAGGTCGGCCTGATATACATCTTGTTAAACACAGAGTGAAATATGTGTATATTTAGACTGGTACGACGAGAGAGACGATAGATATTAGTACATGTATGAGTGGGTAAAGAGGGGTCACACCTGGTACGACGAGAGAGACGATAGAGGGGCTCTCTCGTCGTCCAGGACCAAGATCTAAGACTTGATCAATAGATTACCTAGATGCCAGATTATCCAGCACGTGCGTCGCTCTCCAACACCCCCCCTTGACGCGCGTCCAGTCGTAGCAATTTGACCCAGCGTGAATGCAGTACACGGTGCAGTGGCTTTGTGAACAAGTCGGCGATATTTTCATTGCCAGCAATGTGCATGACATCGATCCAGCGCTTCAGAACACAATCACGAATAAAGTGTTCGCGTATGGCTATGTGCTTCATCTTTGAGTGGGCATGAGGATCATGTGTGCACGCTACAGTCCCTTGGTTGTCACAGAATAGCGATGTCGGTTGAGTCTGGGGAAATCCGAGTTCTTCGAGGATGTTTCGGAACCACAGTATATCCTTCGCACAGTGGGTTGTCGCCAGATACTCCGCCTCACAGGAGGACAGCGCCACCACCGCTTGTTGTTTTGAGCTCCACGATACCGGGGAGTCACCCACAAGGATGACGAAGCCGGAGATGGACTTCCTGTCGTTTCCCATTCCCCAATCGGAGTCGCTAAGAGCAGTGACGGTTGGTGTTTGTTGATCAGAACCACCCAGTCGAATCCCGTGTGATACAGTGCCTCGTAGATATCGAAGAAGGTGTTTCGCCGCCGTCACGTGGGCTGGACCGTATCGCGCCATGAAGCGGGCCAGTTCGCGTACGGTGTAGGAGATGTCCGGACGTGTGCACGTTGCAAGATACATGCATCTTCCTACGACTGCCGCATAGGGAAACTCTCTCGCCTTGGCAACTTCTTCATCAGACGCAGCAGTAAGTCGGGTACTCGGGTCCATTGGAGTTTGCACGGTGTTGCTCTTCTCGAAGCCGAAATCGCGCAGGATTGTTTCGGTGAAGGACTTCTGGTGCAGGTAGATAACTCTGTTAGCTCTGTCTCGCTCAACAGCGCAACCCAGGTGTAATTTTGGTTCACCGTTGTCGGTTATCTCGAATTGGGCCGCCAGTGATGCGACGACTGCGTCAGATTCGGTTTGGGATGATGATGCGATAAGCATGTCGTCTACGCTGGTCGTTATAATTGTGAGTTCGTTGCCTTGTCTCCGTATGTAAACGCTCCAGTCGGACTCGACGCGTTTGAAGCCGATGATCTCGAGCCTTTCGTTCAACTCGAGATACCATTGTCTCCCCGCTTGCTTGAGCCCATATAACCCCTTGAGCAGCCTCCAAAACCCCCGGCCTGCTATTTCTGGCTTCTTCATGTATATTTCTTCGTCTAGCGGCCCGTTCAGGAAAGCAGTTTTGACATCGACTTGGCGTAAGACCATGTCATGTGTGGCGGCCAAGGTGAGCACGAAGCGGATTGATTCCCAGCGGGCCACTGGCGCGAATGTGTAGTTGTAGTCTTGGCCAGGAATCTGGGTGAATCCTTTTGCGACTAATCTTGCTTTGAATCGTGAGATATGACCATCCCGGTCGCGTTTTATATGTAAGACCCATTTGCAAGCGACTGCTTTGCGACCAACGGGGACTTCTTCAACCTCGACATAGACACCCTTTGCTCGGAGTGATTCCAACTCTTCGAATATTGCGATTAGCCACTGAGGCCAGTATTTGGAATTTTGTGCTTCGGGTATCGAGTTCGGATCCTTGGCGTCAGGATCGTCGATTGGTTTCGTGAGTGCCGAGTAGATGGTCTCTGATTTTTCGATAGCTTCTGCTAAGGCCGGGAGGTCCGCCGGCTCGCATTCGATTTCGAGTTCATTGCCAGACAGTAGGGCGGAAAGAATATAGTCTTCGGATAATACGAAGTCGTCCCCCCGTTCGTCCAATGTCGCGTGCTCGATTATATAGCGAGCGGGTACACGGCGAACTCGAGAAGCCTTTCGTTCCGCAAGAGACGTATCGTCAATTAGCTCTGCGTCAGGCATTTCTACATCGCCAGTAGAAGCACTGGAAGACAATTAGTGATTCGTTAACGAATCATGTGCGTTAACGCACGACGCTGAGCTCTCAGGATGAGGCGCGTTAATATCTTGCATGACTTCATCTAGCAGCCGTGTTACGGGTCTGCAAGAGAGTGAGTTAGCTGCATAGACCCTGTGTGTTTTCACATACTCGGGTGTTGCGCTCCTCGTCATAGTAGTCTCATCCAAATTGGAGGGAAGCCTGGTTAAACAGGTCAACAAAGTTTGTTCGAACCGTTAACGGTTGGACGTACAAAGTCTGTGGCTCGAAGGTCGGTCTTTCAACCGCCTTGGGCGTTAATTGCTCGAAAGCAGGTCTCTCGACCGCTTTGGGCCACAGATTCTCGTTCTCGGAAATGTTCCTCAATCTCTGACGGAACGTCTTCCCACAATTCGCCAGACATTGATGTCGAGGGTGGAGTTTCCGGGAAGCCGTGGAATTCAATATCACGTCGCGGTCGAATTGTCCTCGCCTTTGGGAACCAAATAAGGTAACCTCTGGCGTCCCTCGCATAGCCAACAAATTTTCCTTCTTCGCCTCGCGCGAGAAACTTCATCTGCTCAGTCGAATTTGGTTTTCTCACTGTTACTAGTGCCCCGAATGGTCGCAGATGAGACAAATCGGGTTTATGTTTAAACCAGCTTTCGAATGGGGTTGAGCCGTCTGTGTTTGCCGAGTGAGGGACGCGGTTTTTGATATGAACGCAGGCTTGTACAGCGAGCGGCCAAAACCAGGGAGTGAGTGCGGCGTCGATTAGCATGGCGCGGGTCATGTTTTGGATGGTTTGGTTAAGGCGTTCGGCAACTCCATTTTGTTGGGAAGCATCTGGGATAGTCTTCTCGTACGAGATTCCGTGTTCTAGGCAATAGTCCTTGAATTTTCCGTGTATGAGTTCGGGGGCGTTGTCGATGCGAAGGTAGACGATTTGGACGCCTAGTAGTTTCTCCGCAGCGACTCGGTATTCATTGAAGCATTTTAGAGCTTCGTCTTTGGTTTTGAGAAAGTAGACGGAGGAGAATCGACGATAGTCGTCAGTGAATGTGATGAAGTATTTGAAACCGCCATATCCGGTGGGGAAAGGGCCGCAGATGTCGGAA